ATATGATGGGAATTCCCTTTTGGATCTCGCCTGCGGTGCTCATCCCGAACAAATCCCGAACGTGTAGAACACTATGTACGGATACTTTGTTGGCTATACTTATGTGCAATTATCTATCATGCGTGTTTTGTCCTTAGCTAAGCCCTCGGGCAAATTCTGATATAACTGTAGTGGTGTGAGAGCCCATTATTAACTTCGATAGAAATCGCCGGAGCGTAGCTCGGCGTGTCTTGTGGAACGTAATCTTTTTAGGGACGAAAGACTGTATCTTCTCGCAGAGTGCCGCATGATCGTGCACGAGAGCTTGGAAGTCGGATCCGTCACCATTGAGAATGATCTGATAGCCGTCTGGCGCGATGTTATCCGTCGGACGAAGGCCTATGCTGCAAGGTAGTGAGAAGGGAGGATACTGATCGTGAAAGCCGAGAAATTTACCCGTTCAACGAATCGCCAAAGTATGACATGACCTGTTGACATAGGGTCAATACAACGATTGAAAGACGATGAATGGCCAAGATTTACATCTCTGTCGATTCCGGGACAAGTCAGCCGAACGTCAGCGATCAGCTTTCGGATATCCTCGTGTGTTTCTCCGAGAAAGCTGAGGCCGAATTGCTTACGCACGATGCCTGTATATCCCGGGGAGCTCAGACTTGTATCAACTCGGCACATTGAAAACGGACCTTTAGCGCCGTCGGCACCAACAACCCATGTGGTTTCGATGGTCTCCTCGATAGTCTCGCCCCCGAAGGTCTTGGAGACTCTAGCAATGACTTTGTCTTCATGTTGTTCGAGCGCCGTAAGCGTGGAGCCTAGCTCGATATTGCCACCTGCGGCCCTAATATGAGCGCGAAGGATTCGTTCTAGGATAGGCTGGCCGAGCATCTTTGTCTCGGTCTGCAAGTGTGAATCAGTTATCACATGTTACTACGACAACACCAGACATCAGGAAAACGGCACTTCGATTATTAGCCGAAATGAAACTTAATTGTTACTTTTTTGGTTCTCGGCCCGATTTTCGGCTTAGGAGAGATTTCGTCTAAGTTGACCCCGCGTTCATAAGCATGCAAGAAGAAATAAGCACCATAAGACAGGCCGTAGCAAAGAACTGAAGGTAGCTTCGTACGGGTCCCACTGAAGGACAATAATTCACGGTCATTAGAATAATAGTAAAATAAGTACAGACACTATGCTACACTATCTCGAACGCATGATGGTCGGCAAATCGATTTACATAGAAACCTTGATAGTTATCGTAAGAGCTGTAGCACGTCGTTCCGGGTATCACAAACCCAGGCCCAAACATTGGTAGTAGATGAGCTGCGCGAAGGATAGTATCAACATGTATTACCTCTACATGGGGCGCGCCATTGTCATAGAAAGACGGGCGGACCATGTACATTCCCGTATTCTCATTACGAGAGTCTCCGTCATAATTGAACCAATGGACGACAGCGCAGGGATACGTGATGTCCTCATATCGAAAAGAGAAGAATGCGAGGACGCGGGCGACCTCCATGCTGGCAATGCCCTTGGCCTCGGGGTCTGTGACGACATAGACGCAGTCGCGACGTGGAGCCTCGCCTCGCCAGAGCGGCGTTGAGCGGATACGCTCCCGTTTGAGTCCTGACAGCCCGCAGAGGTCGCTTGGGGCTCGAAACATCGAGACAGCCGAATTGAAGACCTTGATAGTCTTCGGAAGGAACGGGAGGTCGCGGGATGGCACTGTACGAGTGGGCCGGGTGCGGTCGGTGCTGAGCTGGGTATATAGGAAACGACGCGCCAACCGGCTCAGTCTGGGGATGCCGAGTTCGTCGCTGAGGCCGGCTATGGTTCGCGCGCGCAGCGTATCTGAGTGATAGGTTAGCCATCAGTAAGCTATGAGGAACTGTACAACGCACCTGGTTTCCGTGCCAGTTTGACTTCCGCCATCAATGCAAACCCGTCTATATCATCCTCGCCTCCGTCCTCCTCACCGTCCTCCTGCCAGTCGTCAACTTCGAATGATCGTGTTCTTGGTTCGAACACTTGCAAACCGTCGCCGTCGTCTGATGAAGACTCTTGAGCGAAAGATCCGATAACTAAACAAAAGGTGAGCATGCAATGTTCCGAATGAGAAGGAAAGATGTACTTACGCCTTTCGAACGCCTGAACGTTGCCGACAACGTAAAGCGGGTCGAGCATGCCACGCGCATCAAATTCGACGCGCGTAGCCTTGAGTTTATCGAGGCGCTGGTTCGTGAGTAACATCTGACCAAGGGCCTTGAAACGACTAGACCGCCTCCAAGGTTCCTTCACGGCTTCAATGTGTTTCGACTCGGTAATGGAGGAGCAGAGCCCGTTCGGCGCCCCGAACTGGCGGACAAGCCAGATGTAGTGCTTGAGGGAGTGTTGTCGGGGTAAAGAGAGGGAGGCCGCGGCGCCGCTGGTTGCGAAGACAGCCCGGTAGTGGTGAAAGCGGTCGAGTGCATCTTGGAGGTCGTCGAGGTCTGTCTCCGTGATTCGGTCGCGACGAACGATATAGCAGAATTCGAGAAACGCCCAGATGGTTCGCACCATGGCGTCCGGGACGTGCTTCTCAATCGCAGGTAGATACACCTTGTATATCAATCAGACATTGAAATGGGAGTAGTAAACTATAAGTGTACCTTCATTAATGCTTTCGAATCGTCACCCGTCCACTGTTTGAAACCTCGGCCTTGAGGGAAACGTCTTAAACCCGCAAATGGTGCAGCCGCCGCGATACTGTAATGTTGTGAGCTAGAAACCAAGTAGGAGTAGGATATGCACGTACCGCTCGTCAATGTCCTTCATAATCCGCCGGTACGTCGCCTTCGGGTGCTCTGCCTTGAGATAGTTGCCGACCCACGTCACCAGGTGGTCTTTAAAAGTACCCTTAATTAACTGATGGAGTAGGTCCGGCGCAATTAACTCGTGGATGTCGGCACGAGGGAAGTCGTTCGTGAAGGGCTGAAGACAAAATTAGCTGATGCAACAGGCGAAGATCAGATAGTGAACATACCACAACATTTGCTATAATACCGTATGAATCCCATAGCACGCCGGGATGGAGTTCATCGACGAGGACCTCGGTGTGTTCCTCACAACGCAATGGTGCGTCGGCATCGAGGTCATCCGGGAATGCTAGACAACTGTACGAAATCAGTGGAGAACAATACAAACAACAAAAAACACGCACCGGGGGCACCACCCTTGCACCACGCCCGCAAGCAACACTTGCTCGGGGTAATCGGCAATGTAAGGCCCAACCCCCCAGATCACCCGTCGATGGAAACCGTCGCCGAATTGGACGACTTCGTACTTGGTCATGCCCGGCTTAAACACTTGAAGGATGGCGGATAGGGAAGCATGGTAGAGCTGTCGGCGAAAATGTCTGAATTTTGGGTCGTCCGCGTAGATTTGATCAGCTGAGGATGAAGTCAATAGACGCCAGAGCATGAATGTTAATACTCACTTTTGGGCACCGACAAGAACCCTATAACCGCGACCGCGTTGCGACGCGCCCGTCGCGCTGCATTGTGTACGTTGCCAATGGATAAATACAAGGGATAGTACTCCGTATGGCCTGTTGCGACTGAAACCGTCGTCTTGTCGCTGCCGAGAATGAAGGGGACAAAGGTTGCCCCATGCGTATCAGGATCTTCGGATATCTGGTCCTAATAAAGCTGAGGAACAAAACATTAAAATAGAGCAAAAAAGTACGTACTGCCTGATCCCATGCCCAGTCTCCGGAGAAAAGATTCTCGAATTGTCGAACGTCCGACGCGTCATAGTCACGGTAAGGAGTGAAGTCGAGGTCGTCCTTCAAATCCGGGCGCGACAGAATATTCTTGGCCACCTCGCGAGGGTCCCGAAACCAGACATCAAACTCTTGATCCATCCACGCGGGCACGTTGGTGTTGGGCCGTGGGCCTTGATACGTGACATTGAAAGTTTGCCAGGGGACGTCACCTTGCTTGATGCGGTCGATCGTGTCGTAAAGAATCTTGTGGTTGGGGTATGGCGACGTGGTATTCTGTCCGAGATGAGACAATGCCCATAAGTTGCAGAGGCCGTCGATGATAGTTGCTGAGGCTTGCGCGCGTCGGTAAAGAAGGTCGGCGGTCTCGAACTGAAGCTGGTCCTCAAATGGGAACCAGTCGTCGTGTTCACGGGTGGATGGAGAGCTGGGAGGTGCGTCTTGAGGAAGAAAGTCGCCGCTCGGTGAGCATTTACGGGCTGTAGTTAGATATGAACATCAGAGAAGGACAAAAGATAGAGAATAAGCACATACCAGTCAAGTGTTTGTGAAACAACCGTGTCACCTTCCCAAGGCTGACATGTTCTCCAACATTGCCGTCATCGGTGTCGCTCGCTCGTGAAGGAGGACGCGATGCTGGGCCATGGGTCTCTGCATATTGCTCGTCTTCCATGGTGGGTGTGGGTTCTTCGTCATTTTCAAAGGTGACTGGTATCAATAAGGACTGTGGTGGTGATGGTGGAGGCGTGTAGAAGGCCTGGGCGGGAGATGGAGGAGGTAATGGTGGTGCAGAGGGTGCTGGGGACGTATGGCGACCAGCGGCAGGTCCAGGAAGTGCGGTATCTTGCAATAGACTGGGTCCAGCTTCTGGGCGGCAAAGCTCGTCGAGCAAAGGAGGGGCCGGCTGGTGGTATCGTCGGTTGCGAATCACACGACGATGAACGATGTTGTTGTGCTGAGTGAGGCCGCCCTTCGACCTGCAGTGTTGACCACACTTGGGGCAACGGTATGGCATGATGGCGCGGGAGGGAACGGGGACATAGGACGTAAAACTGACGGGGAAGTTGAAGATGGCTGCGCAACATTAGCCGATGACAAACTTCCGAATTATTCCGTGACTCACCAGAGGCTGAACACCGTCCGTTCACGCCTTCATCCACTCTCCAACTTTCTGCCCATGTCATCCTCAGCTCCAGCCAGCCAGCCTCGTCGTGGCCGTGGTGGTATCCCCATGGTCCCTGCACAAGCTACCCATGCGACTCGTAGCCAAGCAAAGTCGAAGGCAGACGCCGACGTAGGAGACGACACAGCGCCCACTGCACCCGAAACTTCAACTCAGCGACAGCTCCGGCCAAAAGTCGCCAAGAATCCCGCACCTGTGCATTCCGCCCCCCCGCAAAAGGCGCCGTCATCCAAAGCCCCGCCGAAGCCAGCGACAGCAAAGCCTTCCAGCAAGGCTATGTCCAAGGCTTTGGCCAAGCCCGCATCGACTGCAGCAGCAGCCAAGCCCGCGTCGACGAAGTCGGCTGAGGCGAGGGCTGCTGGGAGGTTGCGACCAGCCATTGACACAGATGGTGTGCCCTCCGTGGACCGTGTCGCAGTCGTCGAGGCTGCCATTGCCGCAAAGCAAAAGCAGCAACTGAAGCCGAAGCCAAAACCTAGGCAGAGGAAGGTCAACGAAGCCAACGGCGTCAACCTCGATGGCGAACATACCTCTGAATATGCCGGGACCGCGCGGACAGCAATGCCATCAGCAATGGTTTCCACGGATGTCGAAGCCGACATCAATGAGGGACTGGGTGGTGGTGAGTACAATGCCCATTGACCTTAGACTGCATGACTGACCTGTGATTGTTGTCGGAGAAGGGAAGGGAAGAGCACAAGTAGCGCAGGTTGGGCGAGTACCCACGAGGAAGTCGGCCACTATCACCGATCAGGAAGCTGCCATGAGCAGCATCACTGATGACACGGACGTGTGAGTCGCTCCCTTTGTGCCAAATTTAGTCCATCATCTGATTCTCACCGCCGTGCTTTCCTTGTTGCCCCAACTCTCTTATGTTTCTTTCGCTCACTCAACCGGCCCTTTACTATCGCGACCTCACCCTCGCCTTATACAGCGGCCCAGTCGCATTCGACCCCATCCCACGGATTTCCAGTTGGCGCGCGAACGTTCCTCGCAGCGCTACGAGTGGTTCTCGCTCCACAACCTCAGGCCGAACAAAGTCCAGTGGCACTTACAGCACCATCACTGCGGCTACGTCGCTCTCTTCCCATTCCATCTCCGCCAAGCATTCGGCTGTCACCACCAAACCCAAGGCAAACCATGAGTCTGGCGCGGTATCCGACACTGATAGCATTGAGGACGACAACGAGGATGTACCCCGCGGGCTACGAGACGATGACGAGGTCGACGCCATTGAGTCTGAAGGAGCGTACATGAGGAGCAAGGACACGAACGATACACTGGTATGTTTTTTTCCTAATTTTTGCACCGCTGTTTGTTCATGTACCCCAGCCTACGTTCGTGATCCAGAAGGCTGCGCCATCTTCCGGTTTATCCCCTCCCTTCACGCAACGTCCACCCCCATATCAGAGATCACCCGACGCCACGGGCGACGATGTATCTGAGTTTGAAGAGGTAAGCTACTGTCCGCTCCCTACTGATCTATACTATGCTAACAATCGTCTAGGTGCTGGACTATGAAGATCCCGAAGCCATAGACGACAATGGAGATGCAGGTGATGCAGCTGCTCATCACACTGGGCCGTCGTTTCTACCTGCCTCGCCGGGAGCATGCTCCGACATTGGGGGTTCCCAGGGTGACGCAGACAGTTACCAGCCCAGTGATGCGGACGAATATCGAGCTGACGATACTGACACAGATGTCACTCTGAAGTCCGATTCCATCGCAGAGCCAGCTAGCGACGCCGATATGGAGGTAGAGCCGGAGGTAGCTGAGGGGGCCATCGATGCTGAGATGGAGGTAGAGCCTGATGAGGTCGAGGAGGACATCGACCCCAACATGGAGGCCGAGCCGGAGGGTGAGGTCAATATTGATGCAGAGCCCGTCGCCGAGGATGCAGAGCCCGCCGCCGAGGACGCTGAGCCCACCGCCGAGGATGCAGAGTCCCCTGCCGAGGTTGGCCCCAACGACGAAACAGCCAATGCCAGTGCGGAGTCAGTCAACCAGGCTGCAACGGGGGCAGATGCTGAGGCCGGTGCAGACCCGGAGGCAGATGCGATGGACGTGTTGGGGGACTTCGCGATCTCGCGCAAGACTACGCGCACAACAGCCCTGGTACGCCGATTCCATATGTTATATTCGGCACTGACCAACACCAGGATTGTCAGACGCATGCTCGGGTGTCACAGCCCGTCGAACGGCCTAAGAAACGGATCAGACTCTCTGTCCCGAACTCAGAGTCTACTGCCGGTGCATCTACCTCTGCCCCCGCCACTACTGTCACCCCCATCGCTACTGTTGCCTCCACCACTCCCGCTACTCCCGCCGCTCCCACCAATGCATCCACCCCTACCGCCCCCGCTGTTGCCAAGAACAAGAAGACCAAGTATACGCTTGAGAACCTACCCGCCTATACCCGCATCAACAGAGTCTTTGGGCGTCGTTTCATGCCCAACGTTCTGTTGTGGCTTGGCGCTCAGGACTCGGGCAAGGTTTGGGGCCCCTCGGATGATGAGCTTGAGGACGCCTGCGCAGGAATATGGCGTGTTATCTTCAACGTGGAGTACGATACCTTGGACATGGGCGAAAGGGCCGCGCTACTCACGATTGTGATTTCCTCTCTATCATCCCTTCCGTCGGCATTTACTGATTGTCTATTTCCCAGGTAACCAATCGCATGTGCTTATGGCGCAACAGCTTCAGTTCCACCGCCGTCTTTGCCCTCCTCCTCTTGTTAGGTCACCGGGGCCTTTGCACTGCTGAGACGCGCGCCGCTTTTGCCGAGCGGCTTCTCATTGGCGGTGCGTTTATGTGCGAGAAGGTTGTGGATGGTAAGCCGACCGGTCCCTACAAGGGATCGTTCTTCACTATGGTATTCTCTTGCCACGTTCTGGCGATCAAGGGGCACTCTCGTAAGATCCCCGAGTTCAAGGACTTCTTGGAACCAGCATACCTTCCCCGCGGTGCCCTTGCACTTGCTGCAGCTGCGGTACATCTCATGCTTTTCTCTGCTTATCTCTGTATTTACTAATACCTTTTTAGTGCTTCCGCGCCGTCGACATCGTCAAGTCCGGCAGGATCGGCGACATTGACAGGGCCATCAGCAGCATCGTCGACGCCGGCTGTACTCCCGCCAATGGCTGGAAATCCCTCACTCAGGTCAAGAGGCTGGTGAGCGAGTCCAGCCTCAAGGCGAAGAAGGACGAGAAGAAGGGTAAGAAGGGCAAGAAAGGCAAGGCCCGGGCTTCCGCGAAAGGGTCCGATCCTGCGACACCGCCTCCACCACCCGACTTCTCTGAGGCTAACTACGGAAAGAAGACAAAGAGCTTCTATCAACATAGTGAACGCTGTTCGGACGCCCTGATCATCGCATCCTACGAACTCGCCGCAGAGTGCGCGATCAAGGTGGAGGAGGAGGAGGAGTCCGAATCAGAGACAGACGAGGAAGCTGTCGACGAGTTCGCCGACCTTCCTACCGAATGTACGTGCTTTAATCTGCTTACAGAAACATACTACTCACGAGGCCCTACTAGGATTTCTGCTCTTCAAGTTCTCGTTCGGCGGCAAGCAATAGTTTTGGTGGTTATTGGCTGCGGGGTCTCTTCATTACTACACTATTCGTTACGCTATACGCGTTTTTTATCATCGTACTACGCATTCGCATTAATAATATGGTCGCAATGGACTCTTATTCAGTGCTTTTCAGCGAACTAAGTGACGATTATTCACACCTAATTCGCATCTTATTGAAGCTATTTGGATGGAATCAGTACCTGCAAATTTCGGGAGGAAGCTAAATAACAAGATGGCGAAGTTGCTAATGGTCTAATAATTCGCTCTACAAGTAGGTAAAAAGCAAAAGCTAGGTTATAGTGAGGAGGTTCGGCCTTACGCGTAACAGCTGGTCAAACTTATAGGGGTCGCGCTTATTAGCTCGCTTATGCTATTGAGATTCGCTTAGATTCACGTAATCGGGGAAATAACCAAGTAGCCGTTTTCCTGATG